ATCACCCATCACCACCACCACGTCGACTGACTTTCCTCTCTCCGAACTCGTCAAATACCAACACAACCCATCCGTCCTCACACAATCGCACAAACATGGCAGCTCCACAAACACCCACCTCGACTGTCGTCGATCTGAAGACCATCCCCATCTCTCCCGAAGGTAGCAACAGCAACAATGAGAATAAGAAGCCCAGCGGCGAAGACGAGCAAATCACCGTCTTCCACGACAAGGACAACTTCAACGTCAAGCACCCGCTGATGAACAAGTGGACTCTGTGGTTCACCAAGCCACCGAGTGGAAAGGCGAGTCTGCGTGCGCTGGGACCCCTCCAATTGAGTACACTAATAATGAATGCAGGGTGACAACTGGAACGATCTGCTGAAAGAAGTCATCACTTTCAATTCTGTGGAGGAGTTTTGGGGTGTCTATGTATGTATTCTCTACCCTGCCCCCCCGTGCCGGGCAATTGCTAATCTGCATGCGCCTGCAGAACAACATTGCTCCCGTCTCCGAACTCGCCCTCAAGTCCGACTATCACCTCTTCAAGGAGCACGTGCGTCCAGAGTGGGAGGATCCCCAAAATAAGCACGGCGGCAAGTGGTCTTACCAGTTCAAGGACAAGCGCCAGGTCCCCATCGATGACCTCTGGCTGCACGTCATGCTCTCGGCCATCGGCGAGACCCTCGAGGAGTCGGGCGATGGCGAGGTCATGGGTGTTGTCGTGAACGTCCGCAAGGGCTTCTACCGCATCGGTGTCTGGACCCGCACGATTGGGAAGAGCATCCCTGGAGGAGGCGATGGCGACGTTGCTGGTGGCAAGGGCCGTAGCCTGGAGAAGGGTAGGGAGGTGCTGATGAGCATTGGGCGCAAGTTCAAGGAGGTGCTGAAGGTGCCTGGGGGCGAACCGGTCGAGTTTTCGGGACACACTGATAGCGCGCACAGCGGCAGCACCCGTGCCAAGTCCAAGTATAGCGTCTAAGGTAGATCTGCATATTTCTCTTTGTCTTTGGGACCCTGGGCGAAACTTTGATTTTTTGCGAGATGATTTATGCGTTGCGCGTTTTGTGGATGGGGGTCAGTCGGTCAGTCCGGCAGGATTCCTGCGGGAAAAAATAGGTACCACCGCACCGCACCGCCCCTGGCTCTGTTTTAGCTGAGGCCGTCTTGCTTTTTCCGGCGGCAATGTTGCGAGCTCTCCCTAGGAAGCTCGACTCGGCTCATATCATGGCGTTAATTCGTGCTGAGCGAAGCCTGCCTCGGGCGTTGTCTATAGATGGGGCAAATAGAAAAAAGTGAACCAACCTACCGAGATAGCCTGAATGGGATCTGAATCATGTGAGTTCCCTGTGATTCTGCGATTTGGGGGCGAAGTACTTGTGTCCTGGAGAGCCTCCCAATGCGGGTGAAGTGAACCATCTGCCTTCTAGGTAGATAGATGGTTTATGACGTAGATTTGATTTTTCGATTAGGTATATAGATGTATACCTACATACATACATTGCTCGATGATTACGTGTATAAACATGTAGGTTCTCGAATACACATATGTATATATGTATATATGTATATATAAATCCCATCTTCCTCTCTGTCCTGCCTCCCCCCC